TTGCAGGACTGAGGCCTCCATAATGAGTTCATATACATAAACAGAAAGAAGTTTGCACAGAATCTTGCACTCAGGCTCTTTACGCAAAAGGAAGCCACAGAGGTTTGACTGGTCCTAAATCATGTCTTAGCTCTGCTTTTCTTCAGATAAAAGAGGAGGGGAACATAGTTGAAAGGGAAGGAATTATGACAATATCAGCAAAAGTGAGCTGTGGATTAAAAGTAAAAGGTTTGATAACTTTAACACACACACCTCTCAAGACAGCACAGGAAAGTAACAAAGAATTCCTCCTGGTCTGCTGCTCAGTCAAGCACACTTTTATCAAACATGGCCTTATAGGGAAGGGAAGGTTGGCATCCAGGGAGAGTGAAACCAGGTAGAGAAATTCATAGAGAGAACAAAAAGCTTCTAGCTATCTCAGGAACAGCTTCTCCTCTCTTCCTCCAGCAAGGTGCTAAGGTAGGCAGACTTGTTCTGCTTGCTGATGGGCCAGTGGATAATCCAAAAAAGAATCACCCAGACAGCCATGGTTTGATATCTACTTGATGTTGGCACAGGTTGCACTGCATGCCCACACAACTTGCTTTCTCACCACTTCACACAGATTTGCACCTCGGAACTCAAATATTTGATGTACCCAGAGGTAACTCCTCCAGATCAGTTACTGCTATGAAGCTAAACGCCATCACCTGGAAGGAACTCTGGATTTCTTTACATGTCAAACTGTTCACAATCACTCTCTCCACTAAGATGCAGAGGAATGATGCTTACAATCCATCATACAAGTTGCTGGGGCATAAAATGAACTCTAAACAGAGGAAAATCTGAATGACATCATGAAAAATAAATGTCCTGGAATTAATATTTACACCACGTTTACAAGTGGTTAATAAGTAAGCCACCCTCTCTGTCTGTGATCGTAAGTTATAGAAAATGGAGAAGGAATTCAGGAAACAAAAGCTTCTGGACATCAGCAAAATAGAAAGGAAATTAAAACAAGCAATAGTCATCAAGGATTTCAGACCCATGATCAAGGCAAGAGTCTGCAGCAAAAGGATGTGTTGAGCTAAGCTTGGCTAAAGCTTGCCTCCTGCAGAAGTTTCCCTTTGATGGTTTATTTACAAACCAGAATTAAAGTCATACATGTTCCTTCTAAAACCACTTCCTTCCAAGAAGGATCCGCACAAGGGTCTGGAGAGCACCTCCACAGCAGAGCAAAGGATGCTCTGCACTGATTTCACAGATCTCCTGCCCTTGCAGCACATCCAGCTGCTCGTGATTCATAAACAACCAACCTGCTGTTGTGTCCCCATCAGGTGACAGAAGTGGGACACAGCCTGGTCCCCATGGAGAGGCAACAGCACTGGGCTCTTTGCTGGGCACGCTCAGTTCCACATAGGTCCACGTCAGAACTCCATGTTTTTGAAAAGGTTTTACTGAAGATGTTTAAATATTTGCTTTTTTTAGTGTTTGGCGTACAAAACCCGCTTAGAAAATGGAAAATCACATTCCTTCCCCCTTTTCCAAGCACGCATCTCACCAGGCTGGCGCACATAGGGAGCAGGGCTGCCCACAGCAGCCTCAGCCCTGTTCTTGGTTCTCCTCTCGGTGGTCAGAGGCATGAGGTGACAGCCGCACAGTGGGGCAGGACACACCTTTTCCCAGGCTGTCTGCCCAAGTCCACACCCAGAATGCCAACCAGCACTGCTGCCTCAGTGAATCTGTGCACCAGCATCACAGCCTGTAAGGAACGGCTGTCTGGGGCCCATTTGACAGGACAGACAGACAGAAGAGAAGCTTGTCGGAGGAACTGGAATCTGAAATAAGGTTTCCCAAGCCCAAAATTTATATACACTGCTGCATCTTCTTTGTATCACACTAGCAATAATGTCACGAGTCACCATTCTGCTTTTATTGTGGCAACTGCAAAAAGAGAACATAGTTTCTTGAGTCATATGGCTACCTAAAAAGGCATCTGCCCCTGAAAAAACTTGCATGGGATGCACCTTTTGTTAATCTTTGTCTAGATTCTAGGACTTGGTAAGAACATGCCCCAAGTGAATTACGCTGTTATTGTAAAGTAATGCAGCTAATGCTGCAAACCTGATTGGACATGAGTACAATCAATAGAGATAAGCAGAAGCAGCAGCCAGATTTGTTGAATAAATGAATTCTTGCAAGTTACTTGCTTAGCTGCTCCATCAATGACAATACTCACATCGATTTCAGTGGGAAGTGGGATCAGGCCCTGATTTCTGACACTGCAGATATCAGGAGTCTGCTATATAACAGGTGATACAGAATTAATTAGAATGTATTAAAAAAAAAAAAAAGAAACTGTTCTCTGCTCTCAAACTTCCACAGACTCCTGCCCTACAATTCATCATCTATATTATTAATCTTTCCCCCTAACTGTAAAGCAACAGAGCAGAATGGCAGTGCCAGCATTCCTGTTAAGATCTCACAGCCCTCGTTAATAAACTTAATAGAGGCACTGGAATATCTCAGGAGTGTAGTAGGTTATAGAGTAAGGCCTTCCCAGGGGTGCAGTTTTATGTTTTTGTTTCACACAGAAGTAATGTACTTTTTCCAGGATCCTACTTTTTTACAGATCATTTTTGAGCACTGGGCTATTCTCTTTTAGTGCTATCTGCAAATTGGCAAACATATAACCGCCCTCATTTTCAGCCAAAAGAGAAAAGGAGGAATTAAAACCAGGATTAATCCATTTGTGCAGTGTGGAAACTTATTCTTTCATCTTCCAAGTACAGCACAGCATCCCCAGGTGCTGCAGGGATCCTGACTTGTGCCCTGCAACTCTTCCTTCCACAGAAGCAGGAGGCTACAAATAACTACTGGCTAAAACCAGCAGTCACTTACTTTTGTAGAGGAGTAAGTTACATCTCTGTTAAATGGCTGTAAACCCGAACAGTTAAAATTTCTTTAGCTTTCAAACTATGCCAGCGAAAATAAGATGAGATTACAAGTGCTTGCATATCCTGCTGTAAGCAGAACAGCACTTTTGGATGAAAACAGAAGAGTGTAGAACAGAAGTTATGACTGTTACCTGCCCAGCTGATCACTAGCTGAATAAGAAGGGGATGAAGAAAAGCCATATGCTGCTGTTAGAAGAGAAAAAGAGACCACAGAGACAAAGTTCTGAGCTGTAGTTCAGAATACAGCTTCACAAAGAGCCTTGAAAGCACTCTCCTCCCATTTACAACCACTGAGGCCACTTCCCGCCCCCTTCCTGATGAAAAAGCATCTCTGTAGCAACTGTAGAATTTGACCCCCCAGAAGATCAAAGTTAGTATATTTTTCAGCTGCCTGTCACAACACAATGAGCAGAACAAACCTGTAGTTGACATGGAATCCCCAAGCAACAGGACGGAGCAGATGCACAAGAGTAGCACTGAAGGACTGCACAATGTGTTGGGTGGAAAAAACACAGTTCTTTATCAGGGAGTCTTTCATGACTGCAGTTTACCTTTGTATTTCATATTAATGCATCAAATGCTGCATCTGATGAAAAATAAGCTCATGGTAGACATGTTAAAAGAGTTCTGCATCAGCCAGCTTGTTCTTAAGATTGTGGTAGAATCCCCATCAAAGTCAATAGAAGCTGAGTTTGGATAAGCACAACTATTCCTGAAAATCTTTTAATGTACATCAAAGGCACTTTAGAGAAGCCTAACTCTAATAGTCCTAGACTTTGGTGCTCATTTTAATGTTATTTGAAGTTTCCCTCATCCTTTTTTTATTATTGTTTTTTAAAGTTACCAGATCTTGCTAGGAAAAAATCATCTGGAAGCAGTGTGAATGTGAAGTAAATGGGGTACAAAAATAGAGGCCAGTACCATATTGCTACTATCCCTGGGGCACAAGGAGATGCACCCAGCAGCGTATGGATTAAAAATAACATTTTGAAGTAATATGAATAACCCAGAACCATCAAAATGCAGTTACTTTAATTCACAGTTTTAATGTATTTATTTATTTCAATCAGACCATGATGGCTTCAGTTCATTACCTAGTTAATAAAGTGAATTAGCTAATGTTAGTGCAGCAATTAGCACTAGTGTTTTCTATTTTTCTAATAGTGTTCAAGATCTATTTGTCAGGAAAGCAGGGCTGTTTGCACGGTGGATTTAGTAACAGCCTGACGTGCTTCTAATGTGATGGGTCAGTTTTTAATTTTTTTTTCTTCCCTCTAGCATGGGAACAACTCTAAAAGCAATTTCACTAGATCAGAGAAAGTAATTCCTTAAAGGATTCAGCATGACCCGTTTTAAAAACACATCTGGTTTTGTCCCCACAAAGCTATATTCTATTTAACATTTTGCCACACACTTCACATTCACTGCCTTTCCTCCTCTTTAAAATATACTGGAACATTGGAAAGGTTTCAATGCAGGAAAGCTGTTAGGTTTCAGAGTTTGTAAATAGTCTTATCCAGGCTCTTGGTTCCTCTGTACTGGAGGGGAAACCATACAAAACCAACAGGATGAGTAAAATCAACAGCTCTCTACGTGGCAAGAACTCAAGATGCGTAAAAGAAGTACCTAATCAAAAATGCCTAAATCATGCAAGACATATGACTTTCTACAATAGCTACAGTTAGTATATTTGGCATTTGTTTAGCTTCTGGAACTCAACAACTAGAAAACACGCTTCCAATTTTCTTCCGAGAGATCTTTTCAGGAAATATTTACAGTAGAATACAATTCAATGTGTAGAAATGTCTATTTATCTGCTTTCTCTAGTGACTGACAAAAACTGACAAAAACTCCTCACTACAAACAAGAGGGTGTAAGAAGGGTTTTACCTAACATAATTATGTACACAGGAAAGCAAGCAGAATTTGGACAACAGCTTGAAAATGTTCTGACAACCTTTGCAAGGCTGAATTTGCACATGTTGTACATTAAACTTGCTTAGATGCCATTTCCTTCTTGTTGAATTTTACACACTGAACACATGAGCAGTTCCTTTGCATTTACCTTTCTCTTGAGGATGCAGTAACTTGAAATGGGCTCCGAGTTTTCTGATAGAAGTCACACACCTTTCTGTTTTGCTTGCTTCTCTTGATGACTACCTTCTTTTAACCTGGGCAGAGAGAGACAAAACAGAGATGAAAAAATGAAAAGCTCTCTTTATCTCCTAGCAGATTCTTTGGAATATGAAAACAACATTATAAACAGGTTGATAATCTACAGATTACCAGAAGCTATAGAGAATGGGTGTGCTTTTTCTCTGTATCATCTACCCTACAGCCTTGGGAGTGCCCTCTCCATTTCTATTCCTTATGTGACATAATGAAGTCTCCCTTCCTCTGCTTCCACTTCTATACCATCTCACATCCACTCACACTCATTTTGCCCTCTGAACTGAAGCAGTGACCCATTTCTTGTGATTAAATTAGCGTAAGTAATAAGATATCATGGATCTGATTGATTTCCCCAGCAATAGTTATTAACCAGCTCAATTCAGAGGAAAGCAGAGTCATTATTCTGAACATCGATTCCTAAGCAGGATTGCAAGAGAAGGGTGCACTTGGACACATGTAGCTTGAATGCACATATCTAGAGAACTGAAATACTTTCTGAGATCCTACCTCCGGTACCAGGGCTTCCTAAGCCAGAAAGATTTTACTGAATTTAACTGACCTAGATGGATTTTTCTTCCATCAAATAATCTATAAGCTTTCCATGCTGCGGCAAAGAGTTGCATAGCTTAAATCTTTTCTAAAGAATAAGTTCCATCTGTTTATCTTGAACTTTTTCATTCCTATCTCATCTGAAGCCCTCCTACTTCTTGCAAGGGACGCAGAACCTACTCTCTATAGGAGAAAAGCAAGCATTAGGCAACACAAAGAAATACAGTGTGGGTAACCACGGCATTGTCCTCTAAGTATATTAAGAGACACAAGAAAGAAGGCCAGTAGAGAACAGAGAAAAAACATGACAGAAGTCAGAGAAAGTTCGCAGAGCCAGTGAATGAAACAGTCATACATTCAAGCCATTAGAAACAATAAATAGCAACAACCAGTCCCACAGTAGTTCAATTATACTGCCATCAGTTTCAGTTCTGGTCCAAATAGCTCTCTCCTCTTCTGGAATTCAAAATGAGATGTATTACACTTTAAAGAATCTGTGTGAGCGTATGTGTGCCTATGGGACTTTTTCAAGTCACTTATTTGTCTGAATGCCATTGATTTTTCTCCTAATTGTTATTCACTATGCTAATTTCCCTCACAAATCTCACATGCTATTGATCAAAAAGTAATAAACTCTCTAGCAAACAAAACAAGCATTATTGCAATGTTGGGAAAACATCATTTAATATCAATACCATATTTACAATTATCTTTAACCCAAATTTCACCCTCAGTGCAAAGCATAATCAAAATCAGAGAGCTCCAGTCAAAAGGGTAACATTAAAAGACTCCTACTAGGCGATTTTTTAGTAGATTATAAGAAAGGCTGAAACAGAACAATCTTAACAGTTTAAGATATATGGTTAATGCCACAAATAAACACCGCTGAATGAAGCATAGCCTCCCCTGCCTGTCTCTTCTGTTGTTTGGAGACAGTCACCATGAAGATAAAACAGAAGTAAGGGCAGCATTAGTATCTGCGCCAAAATAACCTATGGAGGACCATGCCTCATGTAAATTGTGGTTACTGCATTTTTTATTTTTTTTTTAAATATAAGAACACACTGGATTCAATCCAGTTTCCAGTATATGTCTGCTGATTTTCCTCATCTTGAGTAATGGTAGTAGTAACTAAGTGATAGTAATTTATGATCACTGCAGTCTGAATGGGTCTTGTTTCAAACACTAAGAAATCCTCTGAACAATCACTCTTTCTTTTACCCCCTATTTTCTTAATTTTGCCTTCAATTCCTTATTTATTCTTATTTCTTATAACTGCTCATTTTCTTCTCCATCAGTGCAAATTCTAAGCAAGTTGCTGCAAAGCCAACGAATTCCATGCAGTGAAATTAAGTGTGAAAGAGAAGATCAGGTCCCATAGGGCCCCAGAGACATATTCCAATTCTGGACAGTTAAGGCAGACTTTTATTAAACCAATCAGAACATCTTCAGCTCTTTTTATACATTTTCTTTTTGTTTGATTGTTTGTTTTTGTTGGTTTTTTTTTCTGTTTCCTTTATCACCATGGTATCTCTTGGTAGAAAATCAACAGTTCGCACTTCAGTTCACTGTGCATGTTTCTGATGAACTCAGGTAGGAACCTCACTCGGGATATTGTGAGCTGGGTTTGATTGCTGACTGCAGACAAAGACATCACTGGAAGCAGATCCATCACAAATATGAAAGGCTGGAGGGAAAGGCAGCCAGATGAGGGCAAGCACACAGACTGAATGCCAGGATCGAGACACGCAGTTGTGAGGAACTCAAATTCTGACTGAAATCCCAGAAGACATCTTCATTTGGCACCGCATCTCACCTTTATTTTAAATATGAGCATGGTTTCAGATACTTTGCTCTGAATCTTCTAAATTCACAGTACTGGGTTCGGGCCTACTCTAAAGGAACTTAAGATTGTTCATTACCTTCCGACAGCCTTCTGCCCTCTCTGGACAGTTGGAAATCTTTCACTAGTCCAAGCACACTCAGATTCAAAGATGTTATTTCCAAGTTGCATCTTTCCAAGAGCTACATGTCACAGAACGTGATGAACATAGAAATCTGTAGCGTGGGTGGATTTGTGAAAAAGAGCTTTAGAGTGTGGCCTGCCATTCAACTCTGCACCTGGCAAAGAGCGAAAACAATCCTCGCAAGCCAACTAAAACAAAACAAAAAGCAGGAATGGAATCAGCAATCTCAGGGCAACTTTTGCCATAACCCTCCTCAAGTTTCACAAATCCCACATTCCCTCCGGCCAAGAGCAGCCAGGTTTCTGTCACTGCCCGAACCGCTGGCAGCGCTGTGACTGGAACTCCGCCCAGCGAGGAGCGCTGAGACGAACGGCCATTCCCTCAGTGGCACAACATGGCGCCCCGCCAGCCACCACCACGGAGCTGAGGATCCAGCCCGGGGATTTTTTGTGTCTAAGAGGCAGAGAAAGAATTATTGTTGTCTCTGCCCTTATTTCTGACTAATTTTTGCCATCGTACATCCCTGCGTCACCCTTAGGGAAAAGCAGCCTGGTGATATCAAGCTAAGGTGCCAATCCAAACAGAGGTCACTCAGACAGAGCTGACAAATACCTCCAATTAATTTCACAGTATTTGAAATTCTCATGCTGCTCCCAACACGCTGACTTCAGAGCAGTTTTGAAAATACGTAAATTTCTGTAACAATCTGCAAATAACAACATTAATAACGCTCACTAAATTGATGGCACACCCTTCCTTGGATGGCTACGTTCACTCCTCGCTCCATTTCAAAACCAGATGTAGCGGAAATAAGCAGCCTAAGAATGGACACGAGAAGGTCTTAGATCGAGGGGAAAACTTCCATATGACATTGGTGAAAAGATTTGATTTAGTGAGAAGATCAGGCAGAGTGAGCAGGGAGAGCAGAGCGCATGTGTTCTTTTTTACCCTTCTAACGCAGAAACAAAGGAACATCAGGTAAAGATGAATGAAAACAAATTCAAAACCAATAAAACGAAATTCTTTTTCCTATGCAGCCCACAACCAGGCCATGGAGCTGATTGCCTCATATAAAATAACACCGAGATAAGTATTTATAAAGGTCCAAAAAGAATTAGTCGTTGGCATCGATAATCAAAACAATAAGTTACAACAAAAAGATAAAAACATGTTGGGCACGTGCCAAGCATTAACTGCCCGAGATAAAAATACCTCATGTGCAAAATGCAATTCCACAGCTACCCTAATGTAGGGTTTCTTCTGAAGTGAGTTGGCTACCGATGGAGGCAGGATATTGGACTACAAGGCTTATGGATCAGATTTGCTGAGGCGACTCATAATTTCTTATTTACTGATTCAGAGGGCAATAGGTGAAATAGTGCAGTGGTGCCAGTCAGGCTGTCACTGAAATGTTTACACCTGGGGTAATTTGAGCAAAGATATCAGTGAATAAGCTTCAGAAATTCCCCTGTGAACAAAACAGTCCTCTTTAACAAAACAAACAAACAAACAAACAAAAACCAGTAGTCGTATCATGGAGGAATACGAGGAAGGCATGTACTGCTACTCTAGCTGTGTCCAGCACACAATTTATGGCTTCTGGCACCTTCTGTACACATCACAATAAATAAGAATTTGTGGCCATTCACCTAGCGAACATACAAAGCCTACACACATCCTTCTCCATAGCAAAACATCCACATCTTTGCTTCTCAGTTTCACTTCCAAGCAATGAGTGTTAAGGTTCTCTCTCTCACAAAAAAAAAAAAAAAAAAAAAAAAAAGGAAAAACTAAAGATGGGCTGCAAACAATTTTCATGTTCTGCAAAAAATGGAGAAGAAAAATACATACTAGAAACTATGGGCACATTGTGCAGAAGACATTCTGCACTTTTTCCATAAGAGAAGAGCTACAGTCAAAAATAGTGCATAAATTGGTGGGCAGAGAACTTTTCAAGAATGTGGAGACTTAGGGTCATGTCATTGTTCTGACTGACTCAATCAGGCTATTATCTGTCTCTCATGATGGATTAAAAATTCTACCTCTCTGAGAAAAAACGTCATCAAAAATGTTAGCTGTAGGAAAAAGCTCGAAATTCAACAAACAATCTGATGTCAAAAACAAGACTTTCCTTTAAACAGACAGCAACTCACTTTAACACAGCAGCTCTGAAGCTCCAGTTTGCTTTTCTCCCTGCACCAAATGTAGATATAACAGAACACACTAACTGTACTGCGTGAGAACTTTTACATCGCTCAACAACTCAATCATCTTCACTAGTGCTCTCTCCAAATTAACACACGGTCAGCAATAATGAAAATAAATAAATTAATGAATCTAACCAGTTCAGTTTATGAACCAACCTTAAGCAATCACAGATTCTCACTGTAAGCTCTTATTTGCTGAATGGTTCAAATAAACAAACGCTGTCTGGATGAAAATAGCTAGTGGTAACTTTAACATGTTGTACGTTCAGCCCCAGA